TCCCGTTTCGACTGTCCTTTAATTGGAGAAAACTCCCCACGCGCCCCGCGGGCGCGGAAAAAAGGAGGTGTGACATTAGTTTCAGAACAGAGTTAGGACGAGAGGGATTCAAAGAAAAGTAAACAAAGGACAAGAAAGTGAATTTAAGGAGATGTGTCCCTTTCGGGGAGGAAAGAAGGACTTATCTGGAGTGCATGCAGACTTCAATAGACATGACATGCTTCTTGGACTGGATACCCGATCTGCACAACTATCCAACTTCTCATAAACCCATTACGACCCATGTTTTAAAACCGAGAAACCTTGCCAGGACTCTTTCAGTGCCAATAGTGGTGAGGGATTTCTTCTTCTCGATCAACGGCGCCCTTTGTGGGTTTTCGCCAATCGACCTCTCTCATTTCTCTTCTCATCGTCGCCTTATAGTACTCTTTACAAGTTTCACTAACAAGACTCTCTCGTTTCAATTTCTCTGCTCACCATCGCCTTACTGTGCCCGTATGTTTTTACTAATAAGACTCTCTCATTTTATTTCCTTTATCTTGATTGCATCGGGTTCAAACAACTGCATTCTCCGATTTTGAACACCTTTTAACGCATTATCGAAAGGACTTGAACAAGGTTTGGGTCAAAAAGAATTTGGATCAAATTACAACTTTAGAACCGTTCAGGCGGGATTATCGTCGAACCATTATAATATCTGCCCCAGTTTCATTTTTGGGGGAAATTGGATTTTGTTTTAGTGTGACTAAACCCTAGAGAGAGGCTGCCTACATATCATTTCGGAATCAAGTCGAACATAGTTCAGGAAAACATTTTATTTTGTTATTTTTCTTTTCTTTTTCTTTTTCTTTTGTTTTGATGATGATTTTTTTACAAACGTCTTCAGGTTCCAAAGAGGGTAATGAAAGAACTCAAAGGTTTAGCAAAGGATTAGAGTGTTTGGGGTAGCGAGAATGAAAGCCTTCATCATTCCAAACGGATAATGTTGTTGTTGCAGAAAGACTAGACATAATACCTTTTGACTGCGTCTGCATTTACAACTGTTTCAGGGTCATTTCCTTTGGTCTCCAGGTACAACGCCCCTTTTGGCAATAATTTTCTGATAATGTATGGGCCCTTCCCGTTAGGAGAGAACTTTCCTTTTGCTTCCTAATGGTGGGGGAGAATACGCCTCAAAACGAGTTGCCCCACTTCAAAGTTCCTAGGACGCACCTTCTTGTTGTAGGTACGGGCTATTCTTTGTTGATACAACTGCCCGTGGCAGACTACGGCCATTCGCTTTTCATCATTTAGGGTTAACTGTTCTAGACGGGTTTTAACCCACTCACTGTCCTCAATTCAGCTTCAACAATAATCCGAAGAGAAGGGATTTCAACTTCTGCGGGTATCACCGCTTCATTGCCATAAATCAAAAGATATGGGGTTGCTCCGACTAATGTGCGCACAGTAGTGCGGTATCCCAATAATGCAAACGGAAACTTTTCATGCCATTTCCTAGAACTTTGGATCATCTTTCTCAAAATCTTTTTGATGTTCTTGTTTGCTGCTTTGACAACAATGTTGGCTTTGGGCCGATAAGGAGTAGAATTTCGATGCGTGATTTTAAACTGTTCACATATCTCCCCCATCAGGTGATTTTCAAGTTTGGAGCATTATCCGTAATGATAGTTGCAGGAATACCAAAACGGCAAATGAGATTGGAGTGCATGAAGTCTACCACAACTTTCTTGGTGACGGATTTGAGAGTAATTGCTTCAACCCACTTTGTGAAGTAGTCGATAGCGACCAATATAAATCTATGCCCATTTGAAGCTTTTGGCTCGATCGACCCAATGACGTCCATACCCCAGGCAACAAATGGCCAAGGTGCTGACATGGGATGCAGTTCTGTAGGCGGTGCATGAATCAAGTCACCATGCACCTGACACTGATGATATTTTCGAACGAAACTGAAGCAATCTTTTTCCATAGTCATCCAGTAATAGCCCGCTCGGAGGATTTTCTTTGCCAAAACGTACCCATTCATGTGAGGTCCACACACTCCTGCACGCACTTCATATATGATTCTTCCGGCCTCTTCAGCGTCAACGCATCTTAACAAATTGAGATCCGGAGTCCTTTTGTACAAGACCTCACCGCTCAAGAATAAATCGCTTGCAAGCCGTCTAATGGTTCTCTTTTGATCTCCATTGGATTGCTCAGGATATTCTTTCATTTTTAGAGATCTCTTGATATCATGATACGATGGTTGAACATTTGGTTCCATCTCAGCCATATTGCAGTAACCATGTCTTTCTCCGATTTGGATTTCTAACGGGTCAATGTGGAGATTGCCTGGATATGGCAACATCGAGGCTAGAGTAGTGAGTACATCGGCTAACTCATTGTGAAAACAAGGAATGTACCTGAATTCAACTGACTTGAACCGCTTGCTAAGATTTTCCACGTGTTGTTTGTAAGGAATAAGCTTGACATCCCAGGTTTCCCATTCATCCTGAGCTTGTCGGATAATCAAGTCCGAATTTCCCATGACCAATAGTTCTTCAACATCTTGGTCGATTGCCATATTCATACCCATAATTGAGGCTTCATACTCGATAGTATTGTTTGTGCAGAAAAGCCGAAGTCGGGTTGTGGCTGGATCGTGTTGACCCGTAGGTGAGATCAATTGCCCCAATTTCCGATGCCTTTTGCGTTCACAGCTCCATCGAAGAACATTTTCCAAGCATTGGTGTCTTCTGATATTACCTCAACTGAATTGACCTCCTCATCCAGGAAGTAAGTATACAAGGGCTGATATTCATCGTCAACAGGGTTTTCAGCTAGGTGATCCGCTAGAGCCTGGGCTTTCATTGCCGTGCGGGTGACATAGACTTTGTCAAATTCAGTGAGCAAGATCTGCCATTTTTCTAACCTCCCTGTGGGCATCGGCTTCTGGAATATGTACTTTAAAGGATCCAGCCTGGTGATGAGGTAAGTGGTGTAGGCCAACAGGTAATGCCTAAGCTTTTGAGCGACCCAAGTTAAGGCGCAACAGGTCCTTTCCAACAAGGTATATTTAGCTTCATAGCTTGTGAACTTTTTACTCAAATAGTATATTGCCTGCTCTTTCTTCCTGGTCACATCACGTTGCCTGAGGATACAACCGAAAGAATTCTCCAAGACTGTCAAATACAAAAACAAAGGTCTTCCAGGTTCGGGAGGGACTAAGACCAGCAGATTCGACAAATATTCTTTGATTTTGTCAAAGGCCTCTTGACACTCGTCTGTCCATTTAATTGTTGCATTTTTCTTCAACAGCTTGAAGATGGGCTCATATGTGGAAGTCAACTGAGTAATGAATCAGCTGATGTAATTTAACCTTCCCAACAGGCTCATAACCTCTTTCTTGGTTTTCGGAGGAGGCAAATCCCGAATAGACTTTATTTTCGTTAGATCTAACTCGGTGCCCCTCCGACTGACTATAAATCCCAAGAGTTTGCCAGACGGAACCCCAAATGCACATTTAGCCGGATTCAGCTTCAAATCATACTTACGCAGCCGCTCAAAAAACTTTCTCAGGTCTCGAACATGGTCGTCCTGTGTTCTTGTCATCCACATACACCTCGATTTCTTGATGCATCATATCATGAAAAATGGCAATCATGACTCTCATGTAAGTTGTCCCGGCATTCTTCAGACCAAAAGGCATGACCCTGTAGCAATAGGTGCCCCACGATGTTGTAAATATTGTCTTTTCTGCATCTTCCTCACCCATTAAGACCTGATGATACCCAACATAACAATCCACGAAAGATCGTACCTCATGTTTGGCACAGTTGTCAACGAGGATGTGGATGTTTGGCAAAGGGAAGTTGTCCTTGGAACATGCTTTGTTCAGATCTCGGTAGTCGACACACACTCGAGTCTTCCTATCTTTCTTTGGCACGGGAACCACATTGGCTAGCCAGGTGGTGTATCGGACCACTCAGATCACCCCTGCCTTCAACTGTTTTGTGAATTCTTCCTTGATTTTGTCATTGATATCAGTTTTGAACTTTCTTTGCTTTTGCTGGATAGGGGGATAATCAGGGTAAGTCGGAAACTTGTAGACCACCAAATCGACACTTAATCCTGGCATGTCATCGTATGACCAAGCAAACACATCTTTGAACTCAAACAAAAGTTTGATCAATGCATCCCTATTTTTTCATCTGTGTGAATGCTTATCTTGGTTTCTTTGACTTCTCCGGAACTACCCAAATTAACCCCATGTGGGTAATTTCATACAACATGTGGGTTTCATACAACATCTGCCTCATAGCCCCACGAATCTCTTCAATTTCTTCGGCCATGACGGCCTGATCTTCTTCTTCTTCATTGTACTTGGGCCTGACGAAGGTTTCGAACAGATGCGGGATCGGCTGAGGCAAGATCCAGTCGTTGTTCTTTCGCTTATTTGTCCATGTTTCATCAGTTAGTGTGGCTTGGAAACCCATACCAAAGAACTTCTCGCTAGTAGCCAGAGTGATAGGTTTCGTGATTCCTTGCAATGATGTCCCGAGCCCCTTCCCGGGTTTATAACCATGCCTGATCATTTCCTTGGCAACCACAATTGACGCATTTGAGAGAAAGGGTTAAGGACAAGGGCTTCCTTCTTCACATTGGTCTGCGACCACTTCCTCGAAATCTTGATAGACTATATGTTCACTTCCTTCCCTAGCTTCGAGACACGAGATTGATGGGTCCTGGTAAATCGACTGCTCGTCCTCTCCGTGGACTGCAATCTCCTGACTTCATATTCAAATTTCACCATCTGGTGGAGAGTGGAAGGTACAGCCCCTGCTGCATGAATCCAAGGTCTTCCTAAGAGGAAATTGTAAGAAGTATCCATGTCTAGGACCTGAAAGGTCACCTCGAAATCCATAGGACCAATAGTCAAGATCAGATCGATCTCACCTATAGTGTCTCTTTTGATACCATCAAAGGCATAAACACAAACATTGTTAGGCCTGATCCTCTCAGTCCCAATCTCCATTCTTTGCAAAGTTGAGAGGGGGCAGATATCCACCCCGGATCCACCATCCAGCATGACCCTTTTCACATAGTATCCCTCACATTTAACTGTCATATTGAGGGCTTTGTTGTGGGCGGCCCCTTTCGGGGGCGAATCATTATTGCTGAAGGAGATCTGATTGATTGCAAATAATCTTTCTGCCATCCTTTCTAGTTGCTCAACAGTAGTTTCAATTGGGACATAGGATTCATTAAGGGTTTTTATCAACACCTTCTGATGCTCGATTGATTTCATTAACAGAGACAACAAAGAGACCTGAGCAGGAGACTTTCGGAGTTGGTCAACTATCTCATAGTCCACAGTTTTCATTTTCCTAAAGAACTCTTCTACTTCTTCGGCACTAACTGGCTTCTTGAGTGGGAAAGGTTCTTCGTGGCATTATTCACTTTCTCCATATTGAGGTATTTCTTAGCCAGGTTAATTTCATTTGCTTCTCCCAAGACTTCTTTTCCTTTGTAGGTCACTACCGCCTTGTTATAATTCCATGGGACGGTAGTAGGATCTGTCATAGGCCTCTGCGGTGCGCGGCCAATAACCACGGGCTCATTCAAACTTGGTGAAATTACTAGCCCCCGTACCACATAGGTCCCTTTAGTCACATACATCCCTTGTTCAGCTCAAACCTTCTTAGAGGGCTCAATGACATTTGTTCTTTCTTGTGACCTCGGGGAACATAAAGAATGGCATCATTTGAGGGCGCTGCCCCAGTTTTGGTTTCCACTTTCTTTTCTGTATTTTGAGGGGTGGGTTTACTCTTTTTCTCCCTCTTGTCTTCTTTTGCGATAGCCTTTGGCTTCTTTCCAACATCAGCGATTGCAATTATGGCTTTCAAAGCAAGATCGAACTCCTTATATTCGCAAATCATTCCAATAACCGGTCTGCTATTATGAGCTGGTAATGGATTGTTGGTCACATTAGCAATGTCTTCGTCCTTTAGCACCATCCGCTTTTATTCTATGAGATTTTTCAACAGCCCTTTTCCGGGTCCAACAGTCATCTGTATCATGCCCTTCCGCTCCCGAATAGTAAGCACATCGAGTACCGGCTTTGTAGGAGGGCGACTTTGGGTTCTGCCTGGTTTGGGGTACGGGATACAACAGATCCATCTGGACAAGTTTAGGGAAAAGGATAGAATATGACTCACCAATGGGCATGAAGTTTGCCATCCTGGGTGGTTTCGGGGCACGAGCATTGTAGGGGGAGTTATTTTGTGGAGGTTGGGGATTATACTGAGCTTGGCGAGGAGGTTGATTTCTGGGAAATCCAGCTCGGTTTTAGTTGAACTATTGTTCTGGCCTAACATAGGGCTGGGCATTCATCACTGCGTATGGCTGAGGAACCATAGCATAGGCCACATCCTGATGGGGATAGTAATGTTGTGGGGTTCTTGCAGGGAAGTAAGGTCTGGGTAGATGGGGTTTTCTTACACTTGAAGTTGCCATTGCCACTTCTTACTCCTTCTTTCAATTCGCTACACCTCCAGACCTGCCTTGAATTGCTTGGGAGGTAGCCCTTATAGCATATTGACTCAATATGCGCCCTATTTTTAGACCATTCTCGACCATTTCACCAATTTTGATGGCCTCGGCAAATGGTTTCCCAATCGCGGACATCATATTCTGAAAATAATTAGCCTCTTGGGCTTGAAGAAAAACACTAACCATCTCTGTTTCATCCATTGGAGGCTTGACTCTGGGTGCTTGTTCATTCCATTTGACAACATACTCTCGGAAGCTTTCCACGGACTTCTTCTTGAGATTCGACAACGAATTCCTATCAGGAGCTATGTCGATGTTATACTGAAATTGCCTAACAAAATCTCGAGCCAGATCATCCCAAATATGCCAACGAGATATATCCTGATCCATGTACCATTCAGAAGCAATGCCGACCAAGCTTTCTCTAAAATAAACCATGAGAAGCTCCTTTTTTCCACCTGCTCCTCTCAGTTGATTGCAGTACCACTTAAGGTGGGCTATGGGATCCCTATGCCTGCCATGCTTTTCAAACTTTGGGGTTTTGAAACCCAGGGGTAAATGCACGTGCGGTAACATACACAAATCAACATAGGATACGCTCTTTTGCCCACTCAAGCCCTGCATATTTTTTAGACTCTGCTCCATGCTACTCATTTTTCGGGTAATCTCCTCTTGTTCAGGGTTCTTTGTGGTTTTCCCCTGTCCCCGGTAAACTCATACCTGGGTGGCTGAGGGTAAGCATTGGTAGTGAACTGGGCAGGTTCCGGTGGGAAGGATGGTACTTGGAAGGTGAAAGATGATGGATCAAAACTAGGCCTGGGCAAAGTGGGTTGTGCCGTGGCCGAACAAGGTGGCGCAGTGAATATGTTGGAGGTCGTGCCTGAAATCAACACCTGGGGGCGAATCTCAGAAGGTGTTCCAGCAAAGTGGGATGAGATTGTAGGATATCCAAGTGGGGTGTTCGGATAACTTATTGGGACGTTGGAAGTCCCACTTGCCCTAGGAAGTAACTCAGGGAATCCAGGTATCGCA